CCATGCGTTTCAGAGAGTGTTGACTATTATTTTAAAATGACGATATGTTAGTCAATAGGAATTTATCTGCCTACATTAGTGGACTTTCGCGCTACCTATGCTGTTGCTCACGCAGCATTTATCAACTTTATATTTATTTTTCCACAGCACTAAGTTTGCAATGAGGAGACCCTTCGGGCCTAAAATATAAAATTTATTTATTTATTCATTTACAAAGTGTCGCAAAGCCGGACGGCGGCACTGTGACATGGCGAGCGTGACCCGCCATTAATTAAGTTCGTTTGCCATCGCTGCCCTGTGGTTTGGCTATTGAGCCAAAGCGCTAGATGAGACCACCTCGAACAAGCAATCCATGTGACTATTGGGGACCCGCTCGTACCCAAAATTTCCAAGTCACTTCAATGAATCTCATGTCCGTTAACTGCAATACAATTCATGTTATGGCGTCCGCGGGATCGGACGAGCTCCGCAACCCTTGTCCAGTGATGCGGGCGAAAAGTATGCGAGCTGGACTATTCATTCGAAATCGGACTCTTGGTATTGGATGCTGGAATGTGCGAACGTTCCTGGCCCCTGGTACCCAAAGCCTGACGGTGCGCAGCCTTTTTACGTGTTGTAAAAGTCGCCTTTTGCCGTAAGGTGATGGAAACGATAATCAAGAAGACGTCAATGAAGTTCCTGGAAGAGAACAACTTACAGTCAGGGCTCCAATACGGCTTCAGAAAGAACCATTCTTGTCTTTCCAGCTTACTGCTCTCCACTGGGCAGTGGACTCGCGCACTGGATGAAGATGGTAAGGTTGACGTCATCTATGCAGATTTCAAGATGGCATTCGACAGCGTCCCACATAAACATCTAATGTATAAGTTATCAGAAATTGGAATAAGAGGAAGCCTGCTGGCATGGCTCACAGATTTTCTCACAGCGTGCTCGCAAACAGTGTGCATCGGTGACTCGAATTCAACCCCTTTATCGATTCTAAGTGGCGTCCCTCAAGGCTCAATCTTAGGGCTACTGCTCTTTCTTATCTATGTCAACGACTGTGTCAACGACCTGGATTGCAGCACCACTATGCTTCTCGATACTGTCAAACTTTTGGAGAGCCATCAGGTCTGACACCGATAAGAAAGCACTTCTAGAAAGTCTCAATCAACTTAGCAACTGGTCTGCTCGTTGGCTTTTAAACTTCAACGTTAGTAAGTGTGGTCTTAAGACTCCGTGCTAGAAGGACTAATGAGGAGGACGATTCCTTCCATTACCTCCTCGGTGGGTGTCCC